ATTTTTTTTTCTTTTTTGTCATAGGGTGCATGTGCTAGCCGGAGAGGAGAGAGACAGAGATACAGAAAAAGAGGGAAAGTGAGAAATCGCCCCTCCTGAGGACGGCCACACTGAGATCCCTTCTCTTCCATTCTCCTCTCAGGATTTTGGGCACACATGCACACGGGCCCAGTGTGATTTTCAAGCCACTGGATCTGGGACTCAAATCATGTTTGGCCACGTAAGAGTCTGGCACCTTAACAATCACACCATCTCCTGGCCCCCATTTCCCCCCTATTTATTGATTGATTGATTGATTTTGACTGGAGAGAGACAGAGAGAGAAGAAAAGTGAGAAAGCAAGCTGTCGGGTCCAGACTTGAACCTCGGTCTGTCTTGTGGGAGTCCAGCTGCCCTAACCACCATGCCACCTGCTAGCCCCACAACGTTTGTTCCTTTTTAACAAAACAATCTAAACCTCTGTGAGTAACTATTATGATAAATGATAACATTATGACAATTTTCCCAATCTAATTACATCATGTCCCTTGAATAAACATTGCTATCCTTAAGATTTGTTTGCCTAGGGAACCAGCAGTTAGCGTAATGGCTATGTCGCTGGACTCCCACGTAGTCGACCGCGGTTTGAGTCCCGGACCCGGTGGCTTAAACTCACGCCGGGCGCATGTGCGTGTGTGTCCAAGATCCCGAGAGGAGAATGGAGGAGAAGGGATTGCAGCGTGACCATCCCCCCTGGGGGGTGATTTCCTGCTTTCTGTCTCTCTGTCTCTCTCTGTCTGGCCCGCCCCCTAAAAGAAAAGCCTCTCAAAAAAAAAAAAAAAAAAAAAAGATTTGTTTGCCTGGGACTCCATCCTGGTTGTAACTTTTGTGACCATTGTCTAAAACAAGTGACTTAAGTTTCCTCTTTTAAGCAAACAGGCATATTTATGACCTTCTTTGTTACAGTAGTTACAGACTGCATTAGTTACAGAAGCTACAAATACCAGTTAGCCCTCCAAGTTGAAGAAAGAGGAATAAAGTAAAGCAAAAAAAAAAAAAAAAAAGCCAGGCTAAAAAATTGTTTGTTTTTCGTGTTATAATTGGAGGCTCTTCCTGGGCTGGATCTGGGCTGGACCTGGGCTGAACAGGCCCACCTGCCCCTTGGAGGGCCCCTCCCCTGGGGGGTAGGATCTGAGATCCTCCTTGACCCACCGACTATCAAGTCTTCCCAGGCAGCTTCCCTCCCTGTCTCCTTCTCAGGGTCCGTTCCTCTGGGTCTCTCCCCTGCTGTGCGCAGCTCTGACACACTGATCACAAGGCCTGGAACTTCTCTAATCGCCAATCTGGGGACAGAAATTGTACGTGGTGCCTGTTCTCACACTCAAGCTCAGGCTTGTTGTCTATTCCAATGCTTACTCTAACTCCAATGGTGCCCATTGAGAACCGTCATTCCAAGGTCCAAGATGAAGCAAAGTGAAAATGAGATCATGGAGCCTTCCAGAACTCAAAATTCACCCTGAAAATTTCCCAGCATAGCCAAGGGGCAGATAGCCATTCAAGTCTGCCCAGGGTTGTCCTGGGGTTCACCACAACCCCCTACCCTCTGAGACACACCCTCAGCCTTGGGCTGTTTCTCCTCCCCACCCCAACTCTCTTTTTTTCTCTTTCAACTAATTTGACAATAGTCTCCTTTAAGAACTCTTCTGAGACTGGGAAGGACATTGGGGTGCTTTTGTTTTTGTTTTTTTTTGGGGGGGGTTTGTTTTTTGCTATAGGGCACATGTGCTCACCAGAAAGACAGAGACAGACAGTAAGTGAGAAATCATCCTCCAGGGGGATGGCCATGCTGCAATCCCTTCTCCTCCATTCTCCTCTCGGGATCTTGGGCAGGCAGGCACATGTGCCCAGCGTGAGTTTAAGCCACCAGGTCCGGGACTTGAACCGCGGTCGACTACATGGCAGTCCAGCAACATAGCCATTGCTGGTCCCAGGGAAGGACATTGTTAACACGGTGGTAAAAGCACGAGCCCGTCATCACACAGACCCGGCAGGATTCTTCGCTCTGCAACTCGCTGCCCGAATGATGTGGGCAAGGGACTTGGGCTCTGGCCTGACTTCCCTGTCTGTAAAACATCAATACTAGTGTCCACCTGCCTGGGGAGTAACAAGAATTAAATGGGACAGGTCTGCAGATTAACCAAGGTCGTTACATTAAGTGCTGGAACAAAAATTCCAAAATCTCAGTGACTCGATAAATGCAACAGGGGTCCACTCTTCCATCAGGTCATAGCTAGGTGCACAACTCAAAGCCTGAGGCCTGCAGCTTGGCCTTCAGAAGCACCAAGGGTGACGGGCTGGTGCAGAGAGGGGGAAGTCCTGACCGAGTTCTCTTTCGTAACAGCCAACTCTCGTGAGAACCACAAAAGCTAGAACCCACGGGGTCTTGTGAGACATCATTAATTTGTTGCCTCCATGATTCAATCTCCATGAACCAATCATTAGGCTCATATTCTAGGCCCTGGGACGCCATGAAGGAATTACACTTTCCCTTACTACTGCTCCAATACAGTCCCCACAATCAAGTCCCAATTTCTGTGGACACACTCATATGGTAGCAAAAAGGTACCCATCAATTGAACCTTAGTTTAAAGCTACCATAGGGTGTGGTGGTTGGAGTAGATGTATCCTACATGGTCTAGCCGTTTGAGTCCCAGACCCAGCAGCTTGAAAAACACACCAGGCGCATGTGTGGGCATGCCCAAAATCCTGAAGGAAGAACAGAAGAGAAGGGACTGGAGCATGGCCATTGCCCGTGGGCGGTGTTTTCTCACTTTCCCTCTCTCTGTCTCCCTCCAGCAAGTGCATCTTCTGCTAGCAGAGTAAAGGTAAACTAAAATAAAATAAAACCCCTCATATATTCCTCCTAAGTGTTAGAGAGACAGGGAAATACAAATGCTCTGTGTGCCCAGAAGAGAAAATAGAGCTGCTAACAACAGCCGATCTGCTCCGACAGGCAGGGTAGTTAGCCTATTAGAGCCCGGTCTGCTCCGACAGGCAGGGTAGTTAGCCTATCAAGACCCGGTCCGCTCCGACAGGCAGGGTAGTTACCCTATCAGGGCCCGAATGGTGGGCCGAACTCGGTACTCAGAAGATAACTATTGTAACTCTTTGCTCTCCGCTGTCCAATACCCCTGTAAACACTGGAAATCACAGAACTCAGGGTGGACTGTCCAAAATTCTGAGAACTAACGACTGAATACAAAACTGAAACACACCCAGCATGAATGTCTCTTTTATTTTGAGGTATGATAATCAGATGCCTGACATCATTCCTATTCTAGGTACTCCCTGCAGAGTCAGGAAACATTGGAATGGCCTTCATTTGAATGCTGGCTTTGCCCTGAGCGTTGTATAAAGCTACCTTTTAAAAAATATATATTTATTTAATTGTATTTATTTACCGTTATTTTTTAATTTGACGCGGGGGGGGGGGGGGGGGGTGGGGGGTAGAGGGGAGGAGGGAGAGGGAGAAAGCAAGCCTCCATGTCCAGGACCTGAACCACGTTGGCCATGTGGGAGTCCAACGTCTTCACTACCACACCACCTGCTGGCCCCGTATAAACCTATCTTAGTCACTGCGTTTTTTCATATGAACTCAAAAATGCCAATTCACCCACTTTACAGGTGTCATTTCCTCATCTCCAAGTACACATTTCTGTCCATCTGGAACACCTTGCCTATCCGCTCATCACTAAGCTACCGCCTACTCAGGTCTCAAATCTCAGCTTAGGTGTCACCTCCTCCAGGAAGCCTTCTCTTTCTACCCCAAGTAATATTGGGTGCCTGTGCCCTGAGCCCCACAGGAGCCCGTACTGCTCTTCTCCGGGCATTACATGGAGTACTTTCTCTCCAGGGGAAGGAACTTGATTTCGATGACTATTTTACTGCCCACCACCTGCAGGGTCTGTCCCATAACGCGTGCATAAATGTTGGTCACAGGAATTAGGAATCCTGGTCCTCCTTCAAAATGCTAAAGGCATAAGACTAAAATTCAACCAAAAAGTCACAGTGAGGACAAGTTCGAGCAGAACACTGTCTTGTCTCTCCCGTGGGCAAGGTCAGTAGGAACTAAGAAGTATCTCAGAAGACAGCCATACCCTTGGGTCATGCCCAGGTAGTCCTGAGCAATCTGGCATTGTAATGTCTTCGAGGAGCAACAGAGAGTGGGAAAAAGAAATCCTCACACCCTGAGAGACATAGGCGTATGCACACGCAGAGGAGCTGGGGCAGGTGTCACTGTCCAACAAAAACGCGAGGTGGACCAAGTCTGTCTCCCTTGCCCTTCCATCTTCAGTGCGCCTGGAGGGAAGCCTCCCACCAGCCACCTGGCACAGAGGTGTGAGGGTGTCCTGAGCGCTCCCCAGCCCTCTAATGGTGGTATTCCCAGCAGAAAAAAATGCTCTGATTCAAGACTGCAGACAAGCAAGGGAAATCCAAAGACGGGGAGACGTCGTGGACACCCCTCTGAAAATACTAAGTCAGGTGGAGGACCGCATCGTCTACCGTGGGTTTAGCTCAGGGCCCCACGCAGAGGTCCTAGAACGACACAAAGACGCCCATGCGTCCTCCACCCTTAGCCTGAGCGCCTGAGACCCTTTCTTCTCCAGCTCCGCGGGCCCCAATCCCCTGCCTTACCAAACCAGCCACACCCTCGCGCACCTTCCGCGTCCCTGGCCACCCGCGCGCCTACTCCCTCTTCTCAATCCCCGGGCGCGCTCACACCCCACCAGGCTGCTTTGCTTCGATGGCACCAAGAGGCCAGGCGGGAGGAGAACCAGAAACCCCGTCCCTGCTCGGGGTCAGTCCTGCGCTCGCCCCGAGCCCACGCGTCGGGCGGGTAGGGGGCGGACACCTGACCCGACGCCGCGGCCCCGCCCCGCCGACGTCAGCGCCGAGGAGGCCGCGCCGGGCGGGGGGG